TTAGCTTTTGGGGTTTAGGGTTTCGGGTTCCGGGTTTCGGGTTTACGGCTCAGGGCTGAGAGTTTAGGGCTTAGGGTGTAGGGTTGGGGCTTCAACTTCGTGCTAAGCACAGTTCGCGATGCAAGGCTTAGAATCCTAAACGCGAAAACCGAAGTCTGGGCTCCAGCGCGGCTTCCGGAATTGAACGCTAGACCCTAAACCCTAAACCCTAATTAAACACTTAACCCAAAACCCTACACTAAACCCTAAACCCTAAACCCTTTGAAACCTTGAAAATCCGGAGAATGTGCAGCGCCCGCCAAGGTTCGAGCCGTTGCCGTCGAACCACACCTACCTGGTGCCGCTGAAGCGCCTTGGTGAAGCTGGGTTAGTTTATGGTTTGGGGTCAATATAGAGGCCGAAATGATTGCCAATATGATTTGGGAGTTCCTTATTATTGATATAGTTTTATGGGCCCGAAAACCCTATTCTAAATATTAAGGCACCTGTATTAGTCGGGTTTGGTGTTGGGTTGAGGACCCGCTAAGATTGAAACCCTAAGCAAAGCTTTTCGGGCGTCAGCTGGGGATGTGGGCTTTCGGAATGTGGGCTGCAGTTTCTGCAAGCGCTCGATCTGAAAGTTGCTCCCAAGCATTAAGGTTTTATGGTTTCGAGTTTTAGGGTTGTTTAGGGTTTAGAGAGTAGGGTTTAGAGTCTAGTGTTTAGGGCTCTACAGACGAGACAGCATCCTGAGCAGCCGAAGGAACGGAATATCCCCTGCTCGGAGTCCAAGAAATCGTGAGGAACCTTGACAGAACCCTCGAGCCCCCTAGAGGTCTGAATATGTAGGTTAGGAGTTAGTCCCTATATAGCTTATAAGATGACACACCCCGATGCCCGATTCTAAACCCTAAACCCTAAACCCTAAACCCTGAGTCTTCGGGACGCTGCGCCCAGGTACCAGTCGGGAAAGCAGATCCTGTTCAAGCCCGGGGCTTGCAGCTGGGGGTTTAGGGTTTAGGGTTTAGGGCTGGGGGTTCTAGGGCTCAGGGTTTAACGGGTTAAGGGTTTAGGGTTTTAAGGCAAAGGGTTCAGAGATGAGCGAGTTTAGGGTTCAAGGGCTTCAGGGTTTAGTGTTTAAGGATTTAGGGTTTAAGGGTGTAGAGTTTCAGGGTTTAGAGTGTAGCGCTTAGAGGTTGAGGTTCGGAAGCTTCAGTTGGCTTCATGCAGGGCCCCGGATTGAATAAGTCCCATTCCTCTGAGATCCCTGATGGAATCTTCATTCACGTGGATAGCCAATGGTAGAACTTTAAACTTTAAAGCTCTTTGAGAGGTATTTTATTTGGTTTGGTATTTGTTTGTTCTATCTTGGAAAGTTTGAAATTTTTCGGCCCCTAAACCCTAAACCCTAAACCCCTAAACCCCTAAACCCGAAACGTGGAGCGAGGTTGCTTGTCAGAGGTTATCCTACTTGCAAGCGCAGCTTCCTCTGTACCCATGTGTGGGGGTTTCCGAAAAATAGGGGACCCTACTCTAGTACCCTAAATACTAGGATCCTTGTTATAAGGACCCCAGAATAAGGCACCCTAATTTTCGGAAACTCCCATTTGGAGTCTCGGGGGTTGAAGATGCGAGATTTTTGTTTCGCGGTGGTTTGTCAGGTTGATAAAGGTCCTGGGCTTTAAGTTTAGAGGTTGAGCCTCATGGTGGCGTTCCAATCCATGTGCGCATGGGTTTTAGGATTTGGGATCTTGGGATTTCCGGGTGGAGGCAGATGTTCGAAATCGCCCTTCGCCCTTGACGCCGGCGAGGGCGGGATGCAAGCATGTGCAGGTGTAGGGTTAGGGTTTAGGGTTTAGGGGTTTAGGGTTTAGGGCTTGCATTGAGCGCAGAACCGCATGAAAGCCTTCTCGGCACTAATCCCCTGAACCCCTAAACCCTAAACCCTAAACCCCTAAACCCCTAAACCCTAAACCCTAAACCGGGATCATCTCGCGTCGGTGCCCGGATGCCCCTGCTTCCTACATCCCAACCCTAAACCCTAAACAGCTCTCGAGCCTCAACGGTGAACTCCGAATGGTAAACCCTCAGCCCTAACCTGCAACTCTCCTGGAACCCCTTTTGGAGCCGTTAAGAGTAACCTTTATATCTTGAGCCCTACAACATTCCTAAACCACGAGCTGCCTTTTTCGACTTTTCGAGCCCTTGTGGTAACCTTTTTAGTCCCCTGAAAAATTCATAAAAACTCTAGAAAGCACTTCCTAAACCCTGAACCCCAAGTGCTAAACCCCAAACTCCAAACCGAAACTCCAAGCCCTAAAACCCTAAACCCTAAACCCTAAAACCTCAAATTCTAAAGCCCTAAACCCTAAAACACCAGAAATTTTAAAATTAGAAACCCTAAACCCCAAACCCCAAGACTCTACACCCTCAAACCCCTAAAACCCTAAACCCTAAAACCCCAGAAACCCCTAAAACCCTAAACCCTAAACCCTAAAACCCCAGAATCCCTAAAACCCTAAACCCTACAACCCCAGAAACCACTGAACCCTAAAACTTCAGAAACCCAAAATCCCCAGAAACCCCAAACCCTGTAACCCTAAACCCTAAAGCACCAGAAATTTTAAAATTAGAAACCCTAAACCCCAAACCCCAAACCTTAAGACCCTACACCCTAAAACCCCAGAACCCCTAAACCCTACCCAGAAACCCCCAAAACCCTAAAGCCCTAAACCCTAAAACACCAGAAACCCCTAAAACCCTAAACCCTAAACCCTAAAACCCCAGAAGCCCTAAACCCTAAACTTTAAACCCAAGACCCTAAACCCAAACCCTAAACCCCATATCAACCTGAAGCCCTAAACCCGAAACCCTAAACCCCTCTGAGGCAAAGTGGAGGGGAAGCCGCCTGGAGCGAGGGGCAGATCACCCAGGTCCCCTCGGCCGAGAACCACTACTGCCGGAAGCCTCGGGAGGGTTTAGGGTTTAGGGTTCAGGGTTTTAGGGTTTAGGGTTTAGGGTTTAGGGTTAAGGGTTTTAGGGCTTTAGGGCTTTAGGGCTTTAGGGTTTAGGGTTTAGGGTTTAGGGTTTAGGGTCTGGTGCTTAGTGGCGAATGGATCCCTATGATAGTCCCTGAAGGTCCCTTATAGTATTACCTACTCACCAGACAGACTACTGCCGGAAGCCCGGGAGGGGGGCCGTAGGGTCTTTCTTTAGGGGTTTTACGGCTTTAGGGGTTTTAGGGCTTTAGGGTTTAGGGTTTAGGGTTTAGGTTTAGGGCTTTAAGGCTGTAATATAGAGGCCGAAATAATTACCAGTACTAGTTTGGTGGTTCCGTAGTATGATTATATATAGTATATAACACACACCAAAACCCGATTCTAATTATTAAGGCGCCTATATTAGGGTCTGTATTTAGGGGTTTAGGATTTTAGGGCTTTGGGGCTTTTGGGGTTTCAGGGTTTCGGTTTAGGGTGTTAGGGTCCTGGGGTTTTGCTTCAGGGCTGAGGGTCTTGGGGTTTTGGTTCCCTAAACCCTAAACCCTGAACCCCTAAACCCCTAAACCCTAAACCCTAGGAGTTTTGCGAAGGGTTACAGGGTCCAGTACTGCCGGACACCTCAGGAGGGCTACGGGTTTTACGGTCTTGCGGTGTTGGTTCCGGGTCTCAGGGTCCTGGGGTTCTAGGGTTTAGGCTTCTAAGATTTTTAGGGTTTTAGCTTTTAGTATAGCGGTCTCCCCCAAGCTTTTTCAGGGTTGACAACGGCTTTCGAGGGCTCTAAGTATCTTGCTTCTGCAAGTTTTTTCCTGTCCTGGAATAAAGTAGTGATGATCATCCTGAGCACAAGGGTGGGGAAAACACAGACATGCTACTTCGGAGCAACAGTAGCACTGCTGGCATCTCCCCGGCGGGGCCTGTGTCAAATTCACCCAAAAAATCTTCGGAAGCTGGCGGACAGCGCAGGTGTTGCGTAGTTAAGGGTTTAGGGCTTTTTGGGGTTTACCTTAAACTAGCAAAACTTACTTTTATGTAGGGTCCCGATAATTGCTATATTAGTGTTTATCATAAGGACCTACAAACAAATAGGTTAGGGTAGCTCAATGTAGTTTTGAGGGTTTCGGGCTTAGCCCCGACTTCGACTTCGGGTCGAGGGTTGCAGGCTTGTAGATGGGTTGCGTGGCGTCTAGGTATCTGAAAATGCCCCTTGAAACCCTAAACCCTAAACCCTAGACCGTACCTGGGACTCTAATTACCTACAGTTTTATGGGTTCTACCTACTACTTAGGGGGAGTGGTTTCGGCGGCCAGGAAGGTGCACGGTTTGCGCTCGTGGAGCTCCAGTGTGAGGGTTTGGGGAATTAAGGGACGCGCGCAACGCTAAGTTCAACACGTCCACGGCTCTTGTCGCAAACGTGATTCGACGAGTAAGATGTACGGATTGACCTGAACTTGGGCACTTACTGAAGCCAAATTAGCCCTAACCCACTTAAGCCTTCAGTCCTGAGGAGGTTAAGCCTGCACTGAGGCCATGTGGTAAAGGTTCTGAACGGCGAGGACAAGGACAAAGAGGCACGGCGATCTGTTTGGGCATTGGGCTGTTGGGTTTTGCGGTGCTTGGGCTTTGAAAGGAGTTCAGATGCAAGGTATCTCTGAGGTGAAGCTACGGCTGATGGACAAAATCCTGCATGACCTTATATACCTAAACTATGGGGTTTGTGGTACTATACTATATTTGGGTCATGCAGAATTTTGTCCATCAACAGTATCAAAGTCACTGCAGTTCAGACACCCTATAGCCACTCTCGCGGTCTTTTTTGCACTCTCCACAGCGCGATCCGTCAAGTGCCTCAAGGCTTGAGGGGTTGAGGGCTTTAGGGGCTTAATAAAGAAGCCGAAAAAATTACCAATGTAATTCCTGCTTATAAAATACTATAAAGGAGCCAAAGGGAGCCCTTTTCGAATGATTATCATCAATCATCCATAGAAACGCCGTATGTGTTCGGGTCTGCACTCTCAGGTTGTTTAGGGTTTGTCTGGGACATGTTCAGGTGGGTAGCTTACGTTATAGGAGCCTTATAGAAGGTCTATACAGCGTATGGAAGCCTTATAGAAGCCCTATATACCCTAAACTCCGCACCTGTAGTTTCCTTTAAGTTTGGTGTACAAGGGTGTAAGGCTTTCGGCGAGAAGTCTGAGGTCCCTAATATAGGGGCTTAAACAATTATCTACCGTGTCTTGGGGTTTCCTTACTATAATTAATTATGGTATAATGGGCCCCCAAACCCTATTCTAATTATTCAGGCCCCTCGTTTCTCTGTGAACCTTAAACTCTAAACCTTAAACCCCCAACCCTAAACCCTGAATTCCAACATGTTGTATCGATCCTGGGGCCCAATACAGAAGAACCCCTCAGCCTTACACCCCTGTCACCCTTTTGCGAAAATCTCAGGGTTTAGGGTTTTAGGGTTTAGGGTTTTAGGTTTTAGGGTTTAGGGTTTAGTGTTTTAGGGTTCGGTTTAGGGTTTCCCTGAACTCTCAACCCTAAGCCCTAAAGCCCAAACTCTACACGCAGAAGACCTAATTAAGGGTTCCGGGTTCAGGCGTCCCAAACACAACCCTTGGACCCTACATATCGAAGCCAGAACCTCTTATCCCTAAACCCAAAACCCGGAAGATGTAAACCTGTTTATCCCTAACTCCAAAAACCCTACACCTGTAAACCCAAACCTTTATCCCTAACTCCAAAAACCCTAAATATGTAAACCTGAACCTTTATCCCTAAGCCTTCCTTTCCTTTCAGATGCCTCTGCACCTGGATGGTCCGGGCACCCAGGGGCAAGCGCGGAGTGAACTTACGGGTGTCTTAGGGTTTTGGGGGTATTTAAGAGTCTAGGGTATAGGGTTTCTTCGGGTTTAGGGTTTCGGGCTTAGGGTTTAGGGGTATTTCGGAGTTTAGGGTTTAGGGTTTAGGATTTATTTAGGGTTTAGGGTTTAGGGGTTTAGGGTCTGGGGTCTGAGGGCTCAGGGTATCGGGGTCATTAGGGTTTGGGCTTCAGTCGGACAGCCCTCATTCAGATTTCGGGTTTAGGGCAAAAGGCTTCTGGGTTTTGGTTTGAGGGGTTAGGGTCCCAATACTCAAGCCCTAAACCCAGGCCCAAACCTAAGTAAGCCTAAACCCGAAGCCCTAAACCGCAAAGCTCTCGACCCGAAATCCTTGACCCTCAACCCTAAAGCCTTCACCCGAAACCTGATAGCCCAAATGCAAGCCCTACTATGGGGGCCGGTATAATCTGCAAGGCTACCCTATTACAGTTCGGAAGATTCCATTCATGTAAAACCCTATACTGGTCACTGAGAGGGTCGGGGCACTTAGTAAGTAGGTAATAAGTACACAAGAAGGGTCCCTAGGATGTGTTCCTATACTTATAACTCGACCCAATTTAAATGGCTACTTCCCAGGTCCCCCCACCCTCCCTGTAACGACGCTAGCCGCCTTTTTGGGTTGGGGGTTAAGCTTTGGCTATAGGGGTTCGGTGTTTCGGGGCTCGGGTTGAGGGTTTATGCTTTCAGGGTGTAGGGTTTTTGGAGTTTAGGGTTCAGGATTTAGGGTTTAGTGTTTCAGGGCTTAGAGTTTCAGCAGTTTGAGGCTTAGGGTTTCATTGTTCAGGGTTTAGTGTTTAGGGTTATGGCTTCCATGGGGAGAGCAATATCTTGAATCGTCCCGCCTTACAGGAGTTTGGAGGTTCGTAGTCTACCCGATCCTGAACGTTAGGGTTTAGGGTTTAGGGTTAAACTCCTGAGAGACCCACGTTATGGGTTTCTTGATTATGTTTTTCTTTTTTATATGCTCTACAACAGGTAGGTTTCGAGGGCGTACGGTCTAAAGAAGAAGCTCAAGCCATCACCAACATTACTCCATAAATGGCGACGAGAAGGAGCCAGATCTACAGTTGCCTAACCTACAAACCCCATTTACAAGTTCCCTTGATCCTAGAACCCCGGTACAGATTTTGCAAAGCAGGAGCTCATTGCTGCATCCAGGACCGGCATATACCGGCGCTTGGGTTTAGGGTTTAGGGNNGGGTTTAGGGTCTCGGGTTTAGGAAGCCATGATGCATGGGAGCGGGAACGTGCGAGGCTGCAGGAGAGGTTTTTCGGGTTTTCCGAGGAGTTCCCTTTTCACTGGCAGGGACCTCCGACGCCGCCGGCGGTCTTCCGTGGCAGTGGCAGGTTTGAGCGTGTGTGTGGAGCTACTGCCTGGAAATTTCGGTGCCGGCGCTCATGAAGGTGGGTGTACCGAATTCCTGCGACAGTGCCACTTTCAGGGCCCATTGGCGATCGGGCATCTGCTTGAATGCGCGATGCAGAGTGTCTTGGCTATCACATGGTGAGGCTGCTCCTAAGTCCAAGCAGGAAGCCTATCAGAGCTCCGAAGTCGCGCGTTCCCGTGGCTTTGTTGTTTTGGTTGGTGCTGCCGAGGCAACTGGACATGCAAAGGGGATGCCCTCCAACGTCTAAGTCCCTTGACGGGTAGAGGACAGACCTTCAACAAGAATCCTGCACAGATGGCGCTATAAGACCCATAAGACAGGTGTAATTAGGGTTTAGGGTTTAATGACAGTACCTTTTGCTTGACGATCCAGGCATGAACAGCGGCATCCGCGTGGCGAACGTGACCGCGTCGGCTTATGAGGAGGAGGTGCACAAGATCAAGGCACGAGGGGATCCAGGCTTGCAGGGTTTAGGGTTTAGG